CTTGTCTCTGCCATCAAAATAAGGTGCTGAATTTAAATCAGACTGGAGGCAGCCCAAGGGTTTATGTGCCTGACTAGCAGGGATTCACTTTCAAAAGAATCAACCTCTTTCTCTATGCCAAAACTAAAACAGTAGGAAGAGCAAGGGGCAACTATAGCAGTAAAAATTTCTATTACCTGCTAAAGACATTGTGGGTCGTTGGCATTCTAACTGCCTAATAAAAAAATTTAAAAATCTTACTCAGTGGTTTTGTAATGTGAAAATCTACAACAGATGTCATGAAATATCATGATGAAGTCAAAATATTATTCAGGGCTGTAGGCACTCAGTACTTCTCATTTCAGAAGGAAACAAAAGTGAATTTCCAATTACGGTGGTTTGGGGAACACTGTGGAAGAATCACTGGCTGCAGAAATGGGGTTAAAAAGAACGCAGCAAACATTTCATTATCCCTCAGTGTTAGGAAACAGTAGGAGTAGAGATGGCTACAAAAGGCTTTCTCATGCTTTGCAGTTGTTTCTCTTTTCAAAAAACATTGTGCAGTGCTTAAAAAATGGGATGGTTGTAAACTAACAGCAAAACTGCATGCTTAGTAGTAGTAGCTTAATTTGGCAAGAGACTGAAATGTGATTTTTCCCCCCCCACCCCCCCATATTGCATGAGTAGCTAAGGAAGTAAATAGCTGCAGAAGACAAAGTACAGGCTGGTGAGCCTATCGTTTGCTTAGCAAAGGGAAACCAGTGGCTTTTCCATGGAATGATCCTCACATCTGTGACATTCTCTTGCTGATTTTTTTTTGTCTATCCTGGCTATGGAAGCAAAAAACTAGGCCCTGCTTCAAATTTCATATGTGTGGTAGCTAATTACAGTACACATAATCTTAATAAAGAAGTGTCATTAGTTATAAAATCTGTTTACTCTAGAGTTTCATGGGTAGGAGAGGGAGAGTCCAAGCTGCAGAGGGCTGTTGCCAACTGGATGGCTCAGGCTGTGATTTTGTCAATTACTGTGTTTCCTATTTATGTACGTACAAAGCAGGGATGAGAAAATGTGTCTGTGTCCTAATTGCCTTGAGCTTTTAGCAATATTTATGGACTATGAGCAGACTTTCAGGAGATGAGTAATTAAATTTCTACATCTTGTTAAATGTGTTTTGTAGCATCTTGTCTCCTCCTGCTTTAAACAGCTTCCTCTTTCAGTCTTGAAAGCCCTTTCCAGTAGAATTGTTAAAATTTAGAGCAAATATTTTTATGCTAATGGTAGCACATTAACATCATGTTACACTTTGTTTCATCTTCCTCACTTCAGTTTATCCTCATGTTTTGTTCCATAACTCCTCTTGCCATTTTACGATGAACTGTAGATACTAAAGATTATTAAACTGCTCCCACTTGGGTAAATGGGAGCTTTGCCGCTGGTTCCTCTGGAAATAGGATCAGGACCGGAATAGATGCATGTAACGTCTTGTAAGACACACTAATGCCTGAACAAATAGGACTCCAAGCAGTTCTGAATCTTGTCCTCCAGTTCTCTGCGACATGCATGCCACTACTTGATCAACGGGCAATTGAAACTGTTCAGTACATCACAAGGATCTTCACATTAATTTACTGGAAACAAAACCAGCAATCTTGCAACAGGATTGACCAAAAGATGCCCAGTCACAGGTGCTACATCACACCCGAGTATCAGTGAAAACGCATTAAATCCACATAAGCACCCAATGAATTCATAATGAGTCAGTGCTGTCACTGTAACAAACCAATGCCAGAAAAGAGCTTACAGAGGTGGCCAGAGCTCTTGGGTTTTCAGGGTCTACAGGCACAATAAATATTGCTGTGATTTTGATTCAAATTTTAATTAAGCTTTGTTTAAATGGTCATCACGGAGGTGGAAAAAAAACCTGAAGTGTAAGACTTTATCAAGATCTTGGTTTTCTGGAGTACTACATGTAACTCTCAAGTATTCCTGATTACATGTTAAAACTATCCTTCTCTCAGCTCAGAATTTTATAGAATCAGTTCCTTTAATCAGGGACAGGATTTTTTAAAGAAAAAGTGAAAGTCCTGTACAATCTCAGGATTTTACTTACCTGACTCTTGCCCTGCCAGGAAGCACACTCTGCAGTACTGCAGTCTTAAAAACTTAGAGTTATGCATGGGGGTGTTTGTGAGTCCTGGACTCAGCGACTTGAAAAATCATCTCTTGGACAGAAGCAGCTCAGCAGTCACCTCAAAGTACCTGGTGGATGGTGGTAGTGTCTGAACTAGCTTGAGATCCTGCGAGTTGTAAAGCATACATCATCAGTACCACAGCATCCTCACCTTCAGACTTAGCAGCAGCTAAATCAGCTGCTGAATTCAGAGTAAATGGAGCACTAATTTACACTTTAGGTGTAGAGACGGCATACTGCCCTGTCAGTGCCTTGCTAATGTTCCTCCAAGACACTTCAAAGTAAACTAATAGAAATGAAGAAAAATGGAGCTGACAAGATTGGCAGTTTGTCCCAGACCTGTGTTTCAATAAAGCTCAGATACGTGTTCATTCCCTGTTTCATCCTGTTCCTGCAATTTACCTCAAGACAACCAAGATGATGCCCTTTCTATGACAGCAAGCTCTGAGGACCTATCCCCAACAGACTACGTGCTTTTAACTTTACTAAATAATAGACAAGGATGAGAAAGTGCAACCCGTAGCATCATATCCTGCTTGTCCTGTCACAAATTGACCAACTCAATTAGTAGAAAATGCGGTCATGTTTGTCTATTCTAGCTTGAATCCACCGGATTACTTCAAAGCAGCTTAAACTTGCATGTTTTGCCCCCTTGAAGGCCAGCCCCCGCAGGTCTAATACCTGGGCCTGGTTTCCAGCCAGGTTCACAGTACAGGCACTGTCAGTGGTGTGAACAGCAGTACAAAGAAACAGCAAATAAAAGCCTCTGTCCATCAAGTGGTGACCTTGCTAAATGACAGCGGGTATCCTGAGCATCTGCTGGAGGCAGTGCTAGGGCCTTCTCTTACAACAGTATCATAGGAACACACGTTAGCTTTGGAGGATTGATCTCGCAAGGATCAGTGCAAGGACATTTCAATGAGAAAATGAATAAGTCCTTTACTCTGATTATGATGATTAATTCTGTTACGTCAGCAGCCTTTGGCACAGCCAGTGACAGCAGCAGCTTTCATATGGGAAAAAACTAATTCGAGAGCCAAGAACCTTAAAGGGGAATTTTGTGAGGTTAAATAATAATAAGTGACACACAAGCACCTATAACTTTATGTATGTGCAGAAATGCACATACTGTCCTCAATCCTATATAAGACTTTGTACTGATGTATAATTGCTTTTTATTTGAAACATCAGCCAAGATAAAACCTGGCATTGGCCAGCCACAGATGGACTTGACCGTGGAAGTTTTTGGACCACATGAAGTTGAGTAGAAATTCTATCACAGGTGCCAATTTCACAAATAAATAATCACTGTTGAACTGGCAGGCATCCCACTTCCCTCACTTTGTGTTTGATTTTTGCAAAAGACTAATCAAGACATTTATCAGGTACATAATTTAAGATGGGTGGGTCTTTGCTAGCACATGAAACTGGATGGTCCTGGAGTTTCAATTTTTTAAAGGGAATTTGGCTTTCAGACAGTGCATTTAATTGGTTTCCTCTCCAAGGAACCCATTGGTTTCTTTTCTGAAGGCAGACACTTGACATGCACTGATAGGGTCATGTCCCTCTCTCCAGTGCAGTTTCTTCCCCCAGCTGCCATAAGCAAGTCGTGTTCTTTGTCAGGGTTTTTTTTTTTTGTCTTGGATGGACTCCAGCTCATGGTTTTCATGCACGTGGTATGACAGACATTTAGGAGGGGAGTATAAAGGCCAGGTTCCTCAATCCTACTTTGTTAGGAAATGCTCATTTGGCAAATATTAAAAATTATTCTCAATAGGGCATGCTCTGCCAACATAAGATGTTTAGCTGTTAAGAAACAGTAGAGAAAGCACCACAAAATTAGGTAATTCTATCATCAGTTCATATATTTGACAGATAACAAGAAACAGCCCTCTTGCATTTAAGTATGGCATTTAGAAAGCTGGACTAACACTTTAGGAGGCTGCCCTTGAATCTTGATCTGTCTGCTGTTAAAATCTCTACCCTCTCAACATTCCCCTACAGGAGAAAACTACTGTCACTTTGCTGTGTAGATTAACAAGTTGGCCTTCAAATCGGAATCACTGCAGACACTTCTGCAAGTGTCACCTCCTCAGCTCAGCTGTGCTGGTCACTTGCCTCGTACCAGCACAGAAGGGTATTTGAACCCCCTGCTTTGAACCCCCTTGTCTTCTTACCTTATCAATTCATACACAGGGGTTGTTTACTATCAATTTTTTTTATTTGTCTGTACCATGTGCAAGGAAAAGAGTTGAAGGCTAGGCACAGAAGAAACCAGTCTCTTTTTGACCGAATGAGAAATTGTCTTACAGATTTTAGTGGCAGAGAGGATACACCAACATTTTTATTGCAATAAAATTTTTGTTCCAGGGTGCACTTGTAATGACTGCATGTAGCCCACTGATTAATAGCTAATACTAAAACGCTGGAAGGTAATGTTCAAGTACATAGAGAACTACATTGATCTGCTTTACCTACATATAAAAGGAAGTTATTTAGTGTCAATTTGTACTTTGTATACAACCTGCTTTCCAATTATTCAAGGGAGATCAATATTTATGACAATTCATTAGAGAATGCAGTTGACTTTTATTGTGCAGACAAAAATGCAGTCATCAACCCACCACTACATTAATTTTATGAAATCAGTTAACAAGATTATTGTAAAAAATAACTTAAATTTCTGATGAGCAAATGGAAGCAAGCTGTACAGCTCTTCCATGTTCCTGTATTAATAGCTGAAAATGGCATTGAACCATTATACTCAGTAACTAAAGGACAAAACCACTTCCATTGCTTAGGGGAATAAAAATCTTCCTGTTTTCTCCCCCAGTCCAAACCCAATATTGGTTTATAGCAAAAAAAAAAAAAAAAAATCTCACTTGGAGTTACTGCAGAAGTCCCCCACTCTTAACTCCCTAACTTTGATATGTAAGTACCTGATGGAGCTATCATCCTGGCATGGACACAACTCAAGGGCAGCACTGCTTGGCTCCTTCCGAGGGATTTTACCTTGCCAGCATACTGAGCTTAATCTTCTGGTTCCTCATAGTGTGCATACCCACTAGCATAGGTCCTTCCTAAATTCAAATTGCTGAATACATCTGTGGTCTCAGTATCGGAATCCTTCCCTCCCTCATCATTGTCATCTTCATCATCATCTTCTGCTTCATATTCATCATATTCATCCTCACGGTCACCTGCATCTCCAGCCTTGCTGGAGGAGAGGCTCTTCCAGTAGGCATCATAACCAGAAGCTCCATCTGCGTCTTCGCCTCCGGTCTGTCGGCCAAACTTCAGAGAACGTGCTGTAGGCAGAGAAAAATCATCATGTTCTCACCCCTCAACAGCAATTTGAGCTGAGCATCTGACATTTCTTTTCTGTCCTTTCTCACTACTCAGCAAAGAGCATACAATGTTAAGACAGCCTTTTTCTAAACCTGACATTTTCAGATTTAATCCTTACTCTCTGTCAGAACCTTTCTGCTACACAGTGTGTCCCCCTGCAGCCAAGTTTGTATAAACAATAAAATAAGAGTTTCAGGATAAACCTCTGGTACTCTAGCCAAGAAAACCTGTGATTGGATGTGCTTCGCAGACACAATATGTATTGCGATTTATTCAAGAGTGGTTGAGGTAGATTGTATGCGTGTCATCAAACTGCACTTTGAAATTCATCAGCCAGCTTCTTGTAGATGAAATAAAGGCTTAAGCAGTGATTATTTTTTTGCAATATTCCATAACTAAAATCTCAAACTAAACAGAAGCTTCACTGTGTTGCAATCAATTAATGATAAAGAATGAGAGACTGCTCAATTCTAGAACTAAGAAACACAAAGTTTTTCCCAACACAAATGCAGCAAAGCTTTACAGAACAATTGAAAGTAATTGGACTTTACTCAGCGTTCCTATGCAGAAAAGTAGACACCAGTGGTACTTGTATTGCTTGTTAGCTAGAGAAACAGGCTTACTTGACATGCTCAGATCTTTTGTCTGCTGAGTTTCATGGCCACACTTAGGGCAGGGAGGCTCTTTTCCTTTTTCCTGCTTGAAAACCTTACTTCGCACATGATCGTCACAAAAACAAGCCTGTGGGGTGAAAGGAGAATAAAAAGTTTAAATGTTTTAATCATAGAAGCATAGTCTTCAGCAAGAAGCAATCAAAAAAGTGTCTAACAGCAGCAGGATTTTCTGGCTGGGATTAAAATTTAATGAGCTCTATCTGCAGTAGAACTGGAGTCTGTGCACAGAGCAACCACTTCTGTGTTGAATGTAGTTTCGTGGCTTCCTGGGGAAGAGGCTGAATAAAAGTGCTAATAAACAAGTAGAAAAAGTAACATACTCAAGGACTGGATTACAGTGCTGCCCACAAGGAGCCTGGCAAACTTTGGTTTACAGTGACAAGCTTAAATAAAATACAGTCAGAGATGTATGCCAGAACATAACGATGCAGTGACCTGAAGGCAAGAATTAGAGATTGAAATTTCACGTGTTGAGCACCAGGGTGCCAGTGAAGGTATCTGGAGAAAGGAACAATTTGGAATATGAAATTGATGCCATGGGAGACTGCAGGGAAACATGTGGAGGGTAGGAAGAGTAAGAGCGGGCAATGAACCAGCACCATGAGAATCTAAGCAATGCTGATGATGAAGCAGGTGGAACTTTTTATACAAAATTACTTCTGAGTGTGTAAAACCAAATGTGTGATGTCAACAGATTAGCCTGTGCATGTGTAAAACTGGATTAGCTGTGGAGATGTAGATCCAGGCTGCAATGTTTTCTGGTCAGATTATCACTTGACTGTTTTTAAAAAAAACCAAAAAAAACCAAACAAAAAAAACCCTTTTTTTGTCTTCATTCTATGCTGGATCAAAACATATTCTAAAGCTTTGGGTTCTGTTCAAGACCAAGGATTTGCTTTGTTTTGAAAAGGCCCAAACATGGTCCAGCCCCAATTTAGACACAGAGGGCTGGCCAAAGTGAAGAGCACCTCACCTGGCATAAGGATGCACAACAGTGGCTTGTGGTTAACAGGCACGCACAGATTGAAGCCCTTTTGTCCCCTGTAAGTCTGCCCCAGGCTTCAGAAACTAATACAAATGTATGAACATCTTTTTAATAATGTAGAGGAAGACAAGAAAAGGCTTGATACCAGCCTTGGAGGCTAAGGACAACAACTTTAAAATCATAACTACTTGCAACTGCTTTACTGTTTACCTTACAACGCAGGCATGAATGCTGCCCAAGCCTGTTACAGGAAACACCTGTTGGAGAAAATCAATATGTAAAATTCAGTACTTGGAAACTGCAGATCTGTGATGTTTTTAAAACCTTGTAAAAGTATGTAATAATGTAACTGAGGCATTTATTTTTAATTCCCTGACACAACTGCCCTTTGGCAACACAAATCAGTCATTTTACCATACAGTACCAATTCACTAGATTTTTTTCAAGTCTAAGCCTCATTGCAATAATGTAATTTGACACAAAAAGTAAAAGTTGAAGAGGGGGAAAAAGTTTGGAAACTCAAGAAGTAGTTAGACTTTTAAAAACAGAAGTTTCAGAACCAATTTGGTATTAAGTGATCATCTTTTCCTTTTCTCAGAATGTCAAAAGAAGGAGTGCTAGCGTTTTACAGTCACTTTAAACAATGCCATGGCAGCCTTTAATACCTTTATCTCATTTAAATGGAATGTAAGAACCCTTAAAGCTTCCAAACTTCCAAACCTAGAACAGTTTTCTTTTTTTGTTCTGTATTTTCTGTCATGTCCTCTGGAAATGTGCTTTATTGCCCACAACTTCATATAAAAATCTATTAAACTGTGTTAAAGAATTATAGCTGGTACATGAGCTCTAAAGAGCAGAATCAGCATTCAAAAATCTAACTTGTCTTGAAGCTTCAAATGGGTGTCTTTACCCCACTAGAGGGAGTATAGTAAAGGCAACCACACAGGAATTGGCAGCAACGCGAAGCTGGGGGAATACTTACTCCTCAAGAAGCAGTAATATGTATTTTATCGGTCTCTGTACAAGTACTTGTTCCCTTCTACCTTGCCTTACCCTTGTGACAATAAAGGTTTTGAATCTGAAGTAATAAATATCATGAGTTCTCCACATGAGCAGGACAGCTGTGGGATTTAGCGCTCTGTCATGTGTTTAAAGATAGAATTGGAAATGCTAATGCATATATATTCAAACATTTCTGGAGTATCTGCACTTTCCATCACTATCAGAGAAGTTTTTTAAAGTAACACTACCTTTTCACAGCTAGAATGGGATTTAGATGACAGTTGCATGACCACATTCAAAGTTCATGTATTCTGTAAAAGTTCAGGTTTTATAATCTTGTTACCACACACTGACAAAAATCCTGCCTCTCTACCAAGACTGCACTGTGCCATGAAACGTGGAACACAGTGAAAACCCTCAAAAAAGCTATTTCTTTATTCAGGGTGTGACATCACATCTGTGAACTAAAAGCTTCCAACAATCACTGAAAAAACATTCTTGCAGAACAGCTGTCGCCGCTTCAATATTGCTATGCAGGAAGATATTCTGGCCGAATACATCAAGGGAAGCTAATCAAGGCTTAGAAAATAGCTGGCTGGGAAAAAAAGGATGGGAGATGAAAAGGAGATAAGAGATTTCTAAAGACACAGACTATAACATTGAAATCAACAAATATTCTGAATTGGGAGAAATCAATTAGGACAAGAGATTAGTCAGTTCTGAAGAAAACAGTCTTATACATGATAAAGAGCACCTTGAATTTCTATAATAAGGATTGAAAATGTTATAATAGCCAAAATACAGGCATACAAGTTTTGGAAAGGACAGATGCTTGTCTCATGGGATAAACCAAATAGTAGTTAATGGTGGGTAGAAAAATACTTCTACAAAAGATTAGTTATTCAAACATGCATAGTCTTGGTTTGTGTTTTGTTTTGTGGGGTTTTTTTTAACTTCCCTTGAAGCTTCTGTTTCAGCCACAGATGAGTAGTGGACTGGCAAAGTCAGGCATGGCCATCTTGTCCTCAGACAAATACCAGTTTCGGTCCATACAATTAATTGGAAGTTCAAAAGGACATAAAGTCTTCAGCTACCTGTTGGTTACTCAGTAAAAGTGGACATGTATCAACGTTTGATACATTACTGACACACATGTCCGCTGGTCAGTGGACTAACACTGAATTGATGCTGCTCTGGATGAACACTAGTTTTGTTACTTCCTTCAGTGCTCACCCTGTCTCCCTGAATCAGATGATGACCGCTTCCTGAGGCACGGCCTTCCTCAGGACATGTTGCTTTCACACAATTGGCAGGTGCAAACCCTTCACCAACATACAGGCCATCCACAGCAACCTGGGAAAGTTTAGCCGGACTAACACAGGTGGTATTATTTAAGGCAGCTGTTTTCCATAAGGAACAGCTATCTAGAAATAGCTCATCATATGGTCAGAAGACTGGAAGAGAGCTCCTTCTTGCCTGCAGAGCTTTGTGGAGTTAAAAAAAGCAGCAGCAGCAATTCTAGCAGTTTTGCTGCAGTCCTGCAACTTTAGAGACTGCTGGCTCCTGCAAAGGCAACTTCCCTTGGGAGGCATCTAAGAGCCAGGCAGGGAAACAACTGCCATGTGCAATCTGGCAAGGAGGAAGGTCAGAGACAAAAGCTCTAGCCTAGTTAACTGGGTATCAAAAGCAGGCACAGAAGAAACAGGCCCTTTCCTCCAGTGGTGGCAAAAGCTATTTGGAAAAGGTGATGGAGAGTATTCTGGAGCACAGAGGAAGCAATTGGAGAGTCTGCTTACCTGTGCTGAAAGGGACTGTGAATAACTAACTTACATTTAAATGTCTCTGCTTCCAGAACTTGGCAGCTGGCTTGATGTTCAAACTGATCATCTTCACAGAGGAAATTGTGGCAAAAAGAGCAGGCAAATATTCTGCCTCCTGAAAGATTTATCAAGGCAAAATAATCAGCAATGGACATAGACATGAAGTTCTGCTCTGTAAACAATTTAGGCAGTAGTTTTGACTGAAGACCAGTTCTCCCTTCTGTCACAAATGCTTCAACAAAGTCCTAAATTAGTCACTGCCATCCATTATTGCACTGAAAAATACCACGTATCCTACCATACAAGACAGCATATATATAAAGCAAGTATTACTCCTGGTCCTTCTCTTCATTTTCATTTGACTATGGCATTAAGTGTTTTTCTTCAATCAGATCACATTTTCTCTCATCCAGTCTCCTTCCCTCCCACCCCTCACTTCTGATGCACACTTGAAATAAACACTTTAAAGGATTCCACAAATAGAGATCAGTATGGTTTGCTAAGCAATTGGGAATCCAAATACCTCTACTAGCGCAGATGAATGGAGCGGGAATGGCAGAAAATTGTGTGTTGACAATCTGATGTAGTGCTTAATTATGTGAAGCACTCTGCTGATAGGACAGTTAATACTTTAGATTGCGTAACCATCCCCAAATTGAGCACTGTATGTTCCCAAGCAGGCCATTTACATTCCCCACTGTAGAAGCTCTATTTTTAAAATGGGGAGAATGCCTTGCTTTGAATAAATATACTGCAAGGGCTAATCAGTGAAGATTAAAAAAGCTATGTTAAGAAGATAAGTATAATAACCTAAGCAATGTGAGGAGAAAAGTATCATTTAGATTTTCTTATTTTTAAGTGTGAGCAACCTACCGTGGTCCCAGACGCTTCTTTCGCACTCAATACATTCTGCATCTGCGAGAGGGCAGATACATGCGTGTGTGCTGAGGCACTTCCTCCCGTGACACACCCAAGCTTCACAGAAATCACAGATTGCCCCCTGCAATTACAAAAAGATACCATCTTGGGACTTCTGCAGTACCTAGAGAGACTCTTATTCCATAACCCTGAATGTATCAAAGTAACCATTCTCTCAGTGGGCTCATTCCAGTTGAGTGAAACAGTATGAACCACATCTGTATTCCTACCAAGCTGCTCCACAGGTCATCTTGTTTGTTTGATATTCACTTCTGCAGGATTAAATATAACACAAAATAACTTGTTTTTTTCCTTTTCTGTTTCTCACATTTCCTATCTTAAATCATATGCATGAAAATTGTGTCCTCCAGCTGAAACCTGAGATCCATAAATGATAACAATGTTCTGGCAAAAATGCAATTTCCAAAAAGACCTGAAAAATGCCACTGGATTCTTACAGCTGAAATCACTCATTTGGATTTTAAACCATGCTATATTAGAACACAAGCTCCACAGAAAGCAAAGATCGAATAACTCATTAGAAATGTTAGACCCCTTCACTTTCATTTTGATTAAACTAAAAGATCTATACATCAACTATCCCTTAATTGTAGCATTTAAGAAGCTGCCTCAGCTCATATATAACAAACTATCATGTGCATGACGTGCACACAAAACTAAGAAAACAATGGTGAATCTAAATTAAGTGTTGATGACAATACTACATCAGTGAACACATGGAATGAGTTTAGAACTTCAGACTGGCAAGGCTGGCTGTGTTACTGAGGAGCTGACTGCCAACATGAGGCAGAAACAGGACAGAGGTTTAGTCCATACAGCGTTTAATCCAGAGGCTATGACATGTCATACCTTGCTTTCCAGAATGGAGTAATTAACTTGTTCTTCTAAGCACAAAAATTCAAAGGTGAGAAGCTATGAATATCTCTGCTAAGAGCCCAAATGATTTATTTTTTTTTAAATTAAATTCCCCCCTAATGCCATGGAACAGATTCCTCTCTGTGATACTGATGGTCTCTGCAATACTGAGAAGACAGCACCAAAAGTCCACTAGTTTCTACAGAATGATCCTAGATCTTAATGGAGACTGGGAATTGGCTATGGGGCACATAAGCTCCCGTGCTGTTACTGCATGTGCTTAGGGCCTGCCACTGACACATGTGCTGGATGCTAACAGATCTGTGTTGGAGTTTGCAGGAGTTGAATCTAAACATGCAAAATTTGCGTTTCCAGTATAAGGGAAAAATCAGTTTGTGATGGTAAGATGAGGAAAAAAAACTTGGCATGGTACATGCTACCATTACACAAATCTGCTTTTTTCAATAAGACTTGCATAGAATACTCTCATAGTGCAAAAAAGGCTATAATTTTGTATACATACCACCATTGCTAGTCCGGTACTGTACACACCAGCATGTTTTATAACACAGTCGGAAGACTTCATCATGCATTTGGTTTTTCCTGTTTAAAGAAAAAAGGCAAGCAACAAGAAGAAAAACTATATAAAAATCCCCCCAAAATAGAATGAATGTTCATGTAAGAGCAGTACTTAAACCAAATGCCTGTGCTTAATTGTAAATCTAGGTAAAAATAATACAAACAAATGTCTGCAACCTGAAATCCACCCTCGCATCTCCCTTAGATCAAATTAATTATTGTCTGTTTTCAGCCAAACTCTCTTGCCCTAGTTCTGAGATAAGGCAATGTGTTGTCTTGCTCTATGTTTTGAAGCATTGGCAAGAATTTCAAATGCTAAAACAAACCAAAGAACAAAACTAAGGTGAAAGTCAAGCAATGACATCTTAAAAAGTTGCATTTAAAACCGCTGCTAGTTCTGTCCCACCATAAAAGCAGTATGCACTGTGTGCAAGACTGAGGCCCTGTGAAAAAAACATGTGCACCTGATTATTTAATTACTTAGATATTTGTGGGGTTTTAGTGGTGGTTGTTTTTTTTCTTTTTCAAAACTTCTACAGAGATTACTTCCTAGACAGAATAATTCCCTTTAAATGCAGGGAATGGGTGGGAGAAAAAGCCACAGTCTGCGCTTAAAAGTCATTCTGACACAAGCAAGCAGTTAGGGTGACAGCTTTCCCCTACTCCTTGCCTCTGACATAAATGGCTCTACCAGAAACATCCACACTCTGTATGCAGTTATAGAAGCAAAAAAAAATCTTGTAGTTAGCCCAGGCTACTGCAATGGAGTTTTATCACTGATTTAAGCTGCCCTGCCACAGGCCCTATTGCCTGCTCAGAGAAACCAACAAAAGGGTGCTCCCTGCAAACTCATTCAAGAGCTGACAAAACCAAATTCTACTCTGAAAATGTAATTAAATCCCAGTATGCAGCAGCAGAGTTGTGTATTAAATCACACCTCAGATACCAAATGGGACTTGGGGGGTGAGGAAGGACCAGTGGGGGGCTGAGCTGGGCAGTGTGAGGTGGTAGGGGTATTACTGGGTCTGGAGCACTGCAATACAGCTACCTTGCTCCCATCCCTCAGGAAATTATCCAAGAAACATGCTGTTGGTTTACAGGGGCTGTCCCCGACACTTGATTAAGCACCAAACTGCTCTAATGGTCTCTGTCTTGGAAAACCCTGGGACTCAGTACAATTTTGTGATTGTTATTAGGAATGCTTCTCCTCCAGAAACGTACTGCAGATCAAGATAAATTCAACACACACGAGTCAACTTCAGATGTATAATGTACTGTAAGATAGACAGCATGTTTTTAGTACTTCACTGCATGATGACAGGAGGAAGACTTAGGAAGGATGATGCACTGCCATTGCACACTAGCAGCCTGGCTTCCAGAAATGCTCAGTACCTGCAGGTCCCAACAAAGGCACTGGAAGCTGCAGGTGTCAGCAGCTCTGACAGTCAAGCTACAAAACAGCCAAACTGCTTAATGACAAATTGAAAATCTGCAAGGATGCATTTAAACAGTAAAACCCCGAAATTCACCTCAAGGTATGAAATTATCAACATTCCCTGCAAGTAAGCAGCTGGTTTTGTTTTGTTGGTTTTTTGAAAAGGCATTTTAGCCCGATTCAGAGCTGAGTTCTGTCACTTCAGAGTCCTCCTCTTCCGATTTCAAAGCATCAGCCCTCTAGCACATATAAATAACATGAGCAGCATATTACATTACAAAACCACGCAAGGTGAATAATGTACTGCTGCTTTAATTGCTATTAAACTGATCAGAAATTATATCACCCCTAAAAAGCATTTTTTATTAGCGCCTTGCTGGCAGTCAGGGTGTTTTTAACTTTGCTGCTGTTATGAAACAATACTCCACATGGTCAATCTAGGGAAATGGTCAGTCAGATGTTCGCAAACTTAAAAGCCAGTGAGACAAATTCTTCTGCTGATCAAATACTGAAGACAAGTCCATAACCCAGACTCGCAGACCTCAGGGGGTCAGAGGCATACACATTAGTGCATGATCAAGCAAGATCTCTCCTCAAGGAGGATATTCACAGCAGATTGAAAAGATCCTGCTCCAAAAATCACCAAGGTATTATAAGACAAAGGTATTCTAACTGCTGAGAGTTTAACACCACAAACAGGACTGTGGATAGCAGGTTTTTGTTCATTATTTCTACTTACCACACTGTGCACAAATGGGTAATTTTTGAACAGAGTTACAGAAGTAGCAAAAAGCTCTATTCTTCTGTCGTCTAGGCACATGGAGGGGAAAAAAAAAAGCAAGCAAGCATTAAAAAAAAGGCCTGTAAAATGTTTGAAACCAATTAATATGAAACTACTGGTTTGAGAAGAGGAAGAAATACTTACCTTTGGCACTTATCACATTCCTAAAGAAAAGACATAAAATATTGGTAATTAGTTTTATTCTAGGTAAAATATATAAAATTTACAGACCCCACAGGGACTCTGAATTAAGTTCTGATTAGGAACCAAACTTTTTATTCAAGCATTATAGCTCTGATGCAAATGTAACCTTAAATATAAAAGAAAGATGGCAGGAAGAATGACATTCTAGTGGCATTAAATATTATGTATTTACACATATATTTATACAGTCAATGTATTATCACTGGCTTTACATAATTTAGAATCAAGTACTGTAATATAAAATACTTTAGGTTATTTTACCATTGAAGCATTACAAGGATGTTTGGCTAAATCTATGTTGGCTCTTGAAGCTCTTATCTGCTTTTCACGTTCACGACGGTTCTCAGCTTTCTTACGAGCACCAGTCTTCTTTTTAGGCATTTTTCACTCTCTGTTGGGGGAAAAATATGAATGCACACAAAACTATGGATGTAAATACATGGCTACACACGACACATCCAGCACTAAAACTGGATCTTGGAGTTCCCATGTTAACTGCGCTTCATCTCCATTTATTTCCTGTTCTGAAAGTTTCTTTTCAAATGTAGAATAAGAGGCCAGTCCCTTAGGAAGAGTCATGTCATTAAGAATCTTGTGATCTGGAAAGGACTTTACTGTTTTAACTATCTTTGAAGTGTTTTGCCTTAAAAAACCTCTATGTTTTGTAGATTTGTTTGTGATGGGCATCTCTGGTTTTGCTTTGCCTTGTCTATTTAATAAGGACAATATTCAGCTCATTTTCTTTCACTTCTCTCTCTTCTCATGCTCACTAACTACTTCAATCAGTTAAAAGCATTCTTCAGGTAAGCAAATCGTGGTGTACTGCAAAAATGCAAATTTCACATTTCATGAAGGCTTAGAAAACAAAATGCCATTATATAGATTTAAGAGCTATGACAAATGGATGTTTGTGCTGCTTATTTATCATTCTAGCACATTAACAATAATGAAGAGATGAGCATGCATTGCTTTGAAGATGCCAGTGCTTCCCAAGAAGGGTTTACACTAATTCCATCTGGTTCAACGCATGGTCTAGCTTAACGTTCTGGGAGGGAACCAATGCACACAGTGGTGAGACCATCAGGTAATCAATCAGACCACTGCTCTCTTGTCATCTCCACAATGAACTCTGCAGTACTCGCATATGCTTAGTTTACTCTGTGTTTATAACAAATTAGGCAAGTATTATCTTGACTTCATGAAATGGACAGCTGAGAGATTAAAAGGGTGGTCTGATGTCTTTCGTCAACAGAGGCACTCGAGACACCCTTCCTTATGTTCCATCTTTATCTTCCCCTCATTTCTGCTGATGTAACTGTTGTTGGTGTCACATTCTAAACCAGATACAGGTTAAAAACAAACCCAAAAAACCTAAACCAACAAGCACCCCCAAGGCCCAGATTAGCACAATCTGATGGGGGAGGACAGTGAAAGGGGCAGCAGGGGTATTTGCTTTGGCAAGGCAGCTAAGGAAGAGGCAATTTTTTTGTCTCCACTGACAAAAAAAATTGCCTTATTGAACACAGTTCTAAAAAAACCACTCCCAAGTTTATGGCCCAGGTGGATGCACTTCTTTGTACTGTAGCTACCAAACCATACCTCCTTGCAGATGACAAGATGGGTGAATTTTTGGAAGTGTTCCGCTCTTATTTTGGTAACTCACCACAGTGCTTCTGTTTTGAAAGTCTGGCCTCTCTAGCAAGTTGCCCCAACATATATTGCACTGCACGACTAACCCACAGTTCTTTTAGCTACAAGTACACCTAATGATGCTCCTTGCTCTGCCTCTGATTTCTAAAACTGCAGAAATATACTTTCAAACAATTGATAACTGAGAGTCAAGTGTCATCTTAAAATCTCAGTCTCCACTTGTGGAATTTGAAGAAAATCACTACACACTTGGGGCCTGGCAGAAACCAGCCCACACGATAGGACAGCTCTGCCCAGGCAAGGTTCTGCTGATTCCAGTAGGTCAACGGATGGCTACTGGGGCCACTGGTCTGAGAAAATGGGAGGTACCTGCTCTCCCCAGCCTCATCCCTAACTCCAAGCAGACATGTAGACACGCATGCTGGTATCTATAAGGAGAGCTGCAGCATCCACAGGCAGTGAATTGTACAAGCTTAAACTTGGAAGAAAAATTAGTATCTTTGTTCAAAAGGTCTTATAAAATAAACCCAGAAATCCTAACTTTCCCGAACAAAGAAATATATTGTCCTGACCAAATACTAAAATTTGCTTTTGATAACACACATAAATCAGTTTTCTCACCCTGTAGCATTCTGCACCGTGTTTAAATTGTATTTGTGTCATATTTTGTAGTCAAAATTGTATTGCTGAGTTGCCTGCTAGCAACTGTCATTATTCTAGACCGTGACATTTCTGACACTGGGAGTCCAAGATGAGGTTGCACACTAATTTTCAAGCTGCTTGAATACTGATTTAACAACAGGATCTAATGGTTAGTATTTATACCTTGACTTCTTCACATTACCTCATAATCGAAAGCACCAAAATGACAAACTGTTTTCATGAAAAACACTGTCTCGATGACTACTGAGGACACAGATTATGAAAAATCTTTAAGATGGTAGTTTTTAGAAAGTTGCACTAAACTAAATAACAACAGAACTGCAATGTCAGGTCCTTTTAACAAAGCTATCAACTCAATCCAGGCTTTCAAACAGCATCCAATAAATAACAACAGCCTATAGATCAATATTCTCTCACTCTT